GAAAAAAATATATATATTGAAAACCTTTGGTTAAGTCCAATTTTGTTAATTCTTATAATTTAAATGTACTAAAGGACCTAATAATATTTTTTTAGTAAAGAAAATGGGCACCTATTAATTTATCTTTGTGATTATTTTTATTTATTAGGTCCATTTTGTATGCATATAGCTTTTTCAGATTTTTCTCAAGATTTATGCATACATTGTGAGTAGGAGCTATTCTTTTAAAATTCTTTATATAGAATATCAGAATAGTTGGTGATATACATAGTAAATCAAGAGGTCCTTCCCTCTGGTGGTGCAATTATACAATATTCACATGCATGAAAACATATTTGGCTTAAACTAGTTTAAATTAAAACTCAAAACCAAGATCTTATTAAATGTAGATTCATTTTGAAACATTCTTGACCACTAATAGTAATCCATTGATAATTATTTTTGGTGGAAACCCATTTGGGTGACTAAATTGAATCTAACGTTTTTAGTTATAATTTTCAGTAATGCCTAATTTAGACCTAAAATAATATAATATGTAAAAACATGAATTCTATTACCAAACAAAAATGAATTTAATTTTATACAGAATATATTGTATAATGTATTCTCTAGGATTGTACAACTTGAGATAGAGAAAAATAACAAGTTTAACTCATTACAAACTATAGGAAGAAAATGTGATTTTAAAATCTATTTGTAAGCAAAAGTGAAAAGAAGATATTAAATACTGAAATTCGGAATTGGATGTAAACAATGAAAAATATGCAGAGTTTAGCAAATGCATACCTTTACATCCATTTGTATTCTTCTTTCCTCCTATAATAAGCCCATTTTGCAAAGAACTTTAAAAGCTGACTCCTTCCTCAATTTTAGTGGAAGCTCCCGTTGAATCTCTATACCAATAATGAAAAATGAGAACTGATAGGTAAAGTTAAAAGTTTCTAGAACGGCATCGCCTGAATGTCGCTGTGTCTCAGTATGATGACATAAATTCCTGTAACCATCTTGCCATTTGCCTGATGACAAAGCTAAGATATGGAGCGGGAAGAGCCAAGAGACTCCAGGGCAACTGGTCCAGAAGTCCTGGTACACCGTGCCTGAAGATACCTTAAGTCTGAATACCTTGGTAGAGAAAATTCCTTTTTCTAGTGTGAGCTGGTAATTTCTGTTACTTGAAGTCAAAGATATCCTGAGGCTATTTAATTTGTTTTGCTTTTTAAAATGTAGATTTAAAAAATTCTCTTTTCCATCTAATGTTTTTATCTTTTTTTAAATTTACATTATGAGACATATTTTTCAAATATAATACACATAAGCTAATTCTAAATCCTCAACATGCTTGCTGAATTTTGCTTCAACAATTAAATTCAGAAGTGCCTTTAACAAAGTCAATTATTTTTCGTGACAATTTTTTCTATATTACCGGTTCTTCTCAATCATGGTGCCATAATGATGAGTAACTTAAAAAAGAAATTCTATTTCACATGAGAGTTGGTCTTTCACAACATGAAATATGCATATTTTCATTTAAAAATGCAAGCTGTTTTTAGTTTACTCCTAAGAGAAGTGATCTTTAAAAAAATCAGAAATACTTAAAAATTAAATAAATAGAAATTATTTTCAGACATGTCTTCACCATTGAGATTACTTTATTTGATATTTTCAATATGGATTTATAAAAATATTAAGAACATAAAATACTGATTTTAAACCACTTTAAATAGCATTTATTCTTATCAACTATAAATTTCCATTTAAAAATTAAAAAATAAAATGTTAAAAGGCACGACAATTGAATTAGCTGTGCATGCAAGCAGGAGTCTGTCTACACAACAAACTAGGCAATTTGTGTGGGGAGAGGGAGGTGAGAGTAGAAGCATTAACTCAAGGCATGTCTAAGTAAATTAGCTTTTACTGGAATGCTTATCAAAAAAGTGAAGATTCTTCTTACTTAATCAAGGCACTAAGACATAAAAGACTAAACTTACTTGAAAAAAATGATCTGCTGCTGCCAGCTAGGATGACCTGATACATCACACATACATAAAATTTAGAGTGAGCAAAATCTAATTAATCAAGATAATCCACAGGCTCATATATTTTTGTAAATTGACTTAGTCATTCTTATGGTAAATATTAAAAAGAAGCAATTTCTACTAAAATGGTAGATTATCATGCCATGAAGCTACAGCTACAATTCATTTAGACATTTGATATTATGTCCTATTAATTCTCTGTGCACATGAGAGAACACAGCTCCCTGATATTATCTCGATAATCCATTTACAAGCATTATGAAATACTGTTCAAATATTTGAGCATTCTGATAGAATGGATTATCCAGAAAGAGATGTCAAAGCTTAACATGCCTACCATACTTCACAGGCCCGTTACCTGGTACCCTTCCTTAAAAACTCTCTGCTTTTGAGGTAAATACTTCTCAATACAGTGATTCAGAGAGCCAGTGAATTAGAGTTAGCATATGAGTTTCACACATTTTCTTATAATTGACCAGTATTTACTAAAACATGTTATTAAAGACTGAAAAGCAAGACAATTTTAAAAGATCCACTATAGTCTGTAGATAAGACACTCTATAGATCGAAGTTTTGTTTAGAAAATATTGAAAATATTGAAACTCCGAAAGTAATAGAAGACAATACAGATAAGCTGTATGGGGGTAAATCTATTTGAAGTGTTCAAAGTGTTTTGAAATATAGCATGAATGTCATCTAAGTAAAAGATGGAAAATTTTAAGTTTGAAAATTTAGCTTTAGAATTACCCTCAAAGCTATAAATGATCTGAGAATAATGGGGAACAAAGTCTAATATTTTGTCTTCATATGTAAAGAAATCTAACATCCATATAAATTAAAAACACAATTTGAAAATAGACTAAGATCATGAACATTAGCACATGATATGAAAATACGAATAGCTAATAAACGCAAAAAAATACTGTTTAACTTCGGTAGTAATAAAAAAAAAAGTAACCATGAAATATATGTTTTTCACATATGATGTTGAATTGGCCAACAACTTAAAGTCCCTTGCTCTCGGAGTAGATCAAAATGGGCAGTCCTGCACACTAATGATGGGAAATGTAAATGGCATAAGTTTTCTGAACAGCATTTGGGCGATACTTACCAAAATTATTTTTTTAAATTGCTGCCCTTTTAAACACTAATTCTAATGAATTATTTCCTTAAAATAAAAGGATATATCGGCACACATGAGTTTACAAGAATGTTTATCTCCAAGTTGTTTATGATAGAGAGAAAAAGAAAAAGGGAACAATCTAGCAATCTGTATCAAGAGGAAATTAGTTAAATGAAAGATAAAGGTCATTACAATTACAAGCAAATGATTATTTGTGGATTCGAAAGTCGGCTATTACATATTGTCAGATCAAGAAAACAAATTCGTATTTTCTTATGGCCGAGTAATATTCCATTGTATATATGTACAACATCTTCTTTATCCAGTCATCTATCGAAGGACACTTCGGTTGTTTCCATGTCTTCACCACTGTGAACAATGCTGCTATGAACATAGATATGGGTCAAGCGGGTAAAATATTTGGTGATGGAAGGGAATTTAACTTTGAGTGGCGAACACACAATGCAATATACAGATGTGTTAGTGAATTGTACGCTTGAAACCTATTTGATTTTATTAACCAATGTCACCCCAATCATTTTAATAAAAAAAAAGCAATTTCAAACAAGTTTTATAATGCGATTCTATTTTTGTTAAATTATCTATGCATATATGGATAGAAAAAAATGGGGAGGATATGCAACAAATTTTAACAGTGGAGCTGTCTGCATAATAGAATTATATGTTGCTATATTTTTCCATTGTACATAATGTTTTTCATTAACTAGAAGAGACTTTAGTTTAGAAAATGTGTGATTAATATACATATAGTTTATACAAAAATAAACAGAAAGAGCTTTTTCTCATTCTTTCATAGCTAAAGTATTGCCACAAAAAATACTATTTCTTTTGCACTGGTAATATATGAGATAGAAGCTTTGACTATATAGTTACATAAAACAACTAAGCAGAGTAAAAATCAAAATAGCAACAACAAAACCATTTTCTAGACACCTTTGGTATGAGTGAATCAGAAATGTAAAAGTACTTATTTAAATGTAAATACACAACTCTTGCCTCTATTTTCAAAGAGGAGTTCAAACAGCACACAATAAGTCACTACAATAAGACACTTTTAAAAGGTATTAAACAGAGCTAAGTATATAGATAAAAGGCAGGAGAGCAGGAACTACCTGGGAATGGGACTAAATAAAAATTATGCTAGTCAACAGGCTAAGTGATGTCACTTTAAGTTATCAGAAAAGCAATTAGTGAGCTTCTGATTATCCAAGGCTAAAAGTGAGCATTACACAGTTCTCACAGTCTAATAAAAGGAGACAAGAGTTCATAAAAATAAAGCAACTTTTACTTTTCTGAACCCTGAGACAATATCACTACACAAACAGTATAAAACAGACACTAAAATACTCAGCTGTTAAGCAGAATTTCTATGTTCTCTCTATATATGACTTTTACAATACTGGTATCTGGAAGAAACTTAAGGCATAATAATATTAAGCTGTATATGTATGAAGAGCATTAAGACTAGGCCAACTTGTCACCTGAACTGATACAGGCCTATAACTTAAGGAATGTAGAAGTTACGGTTTTACTATTCAAGTCACAATTTTGATAACTAGCAAGCACCTGATGGAAAGAACAGCAAAATACTCTTTAAAGCAGGTTTGTAGGCAACATTAAAACCTTCCATTATTAATTTCAGCCATCGGAAAAACAATCATGTCAGGATGTAAATTTAAAAGAAATGCAATTATTCACTAGTACTTTAAAGATTAATTCAAAATGAAATTAGATACTGAATTTGTACTAGCAACTTTTAAAATTTTGGTTTCTTAAAAAAAGATGAGAAATTAGAAAATCTGTTTGCAAAAATAAATGATTTTGCGATGCTTAGTTAAAATAACTATTTTGAGCATACTGTCATAGATGAAATTAAAGCTAGCAATATTATTAAATAAGAAAATATGTAATAAACTGAATTACCTCACTTTAGTTGGTTCAAAATGTCTAATAAAAATATATGTAATTATACATATTGCTATGAATAATGCATCAAACTCAGTAAAAAAAATATATTATAATAAAAAGATGTGCCTCTGTAAAATGAACCGACCTTCTAAGATTCATTTTTTCACCAAAACAACAACAACAACAACAACAACAACGACAACGACAACAAAAAACAGCTTTATAGACAAAATCTTTTACCACAAAGTTTACAAAGCTAAGCAGCCATCAAGGTGGGATCTGAACTTGACGGAGGACAATTCAGGCTGAGATTTCTATCTTCCCCTCAGGGACGGCTCCCGCAGGCTGATGGGGGTGAGTCGTGCTCTCCTAGGGCCTCTGGGCCAGGGCAATGTTGAGGGACTTGGAGCCCAAAATACGGCCATTCATCTCAACCATTGCTTTAGTGGCTTCCTCTGGAGAGGAGAAGCAGATCAAGCCAAACCCTTTGCTTCGTCCTTCCTCCTTCATGACCTTAACTCTGCTAATTGATCCAAATGAAGAAAATTCTCTCCGTAGACGTTCATCATCGATGCTGTCATCCAGGTTCTTGATATAGAGCTTCACGCCCCGGAACCTCCGGTATCTCTCCTGTTTCATCTGCTCAAACATTAGCTTTAACTCGGCCTGACGCTCTGCTTTCTTTTGTGCCCGGCCTACGAAAAGCGGCTGTCCACTCAAGTCCTTCCCATTCATGATTTCCACAGCCCTCTGGGCAGCCTCATGGCTGTCAAAACTCACGAAGCCAAAGCCTTTGGATCTCCCACGGGAATCTGTCATCACCTTAACGCTCAGGATTTTGCCGAAATGACTGAAAATCTCCTTCAGTCTCTCATCGTCCATGTCGTCTCCGAAGTTTTTGATGTAGACATTGGTGAATTCATTGGCTTTATTCTGGAGCTCAGCCTGCCGATCTTTGCGGTTTTTGAACGGGCCGACGAACAGCCTACAGCCCTTGAGCAGCGCCCCGTTCATCGCCTCGATGGCGCGGTCCGCGGCCGTCTGGCTCTGGAAGTGCACGAAGGCGTAGCCCCGGGAGCCTGCGTCGTCACTCATCACCTTGGAGGACAGGATCTTCCCGAAGGCCGAGAAGTGCTCATACAGCGTTTTGTTATCAATGGACTTGTGCAAGTTCTTGATGAACACGTTCCCGATGCCCGATTTCCTCAAGTAAGCGTCGCGCTGGGACCACATGAGCCGGATGGACTTGCCTTTGATCATGTCAAAGTTCATCGTGTCCAGGGCCTTCTGGGCATCGGCCAGGTGCAGGAAGTTCACGTAGGCGTAGCCCAGCGAGCGCTGGGTGACCAGGTCCCTGCAGATGCGGATGGACAGCACGGGCCCCACGGCGCTGAACTTCTTGAACAGCAGGTCCTCGGTGACCTCCGCGTGGAGGTCGCCCACGTACAGGGAGGCCTGGCGGTACTTGGCTTCCACATTCATGTCCTTGCTCCTCCCCGCCGCGGGCCTGTCCTCGGGAGCTCTGGCAGCGACGGCTGCAGGCGGGTGGCCAGGCCAGCGCTTGGGCTGGGCTCAGCGTGCTGGCCTGAGGATCGCCGCTTCGAGCCTGAGCGTCGGGGTTCGGGGACAGCTCCCCTGGGGGCCGGGCGACAGCCTCGTCAGAAAGCGCCCGAGGCACCACTCCGGCCCTCGCTGGATGCGGCGACAGGGCTCGGAGTCTAGGGGGCGGGCTGGTCGGACGAGCCCTGCCGCCCGGCCGGCTGGCGCGACAGCCTCGAGGGGCCTGCGGGCCCTGGACCGCGGCGCCCTGCGCAGACACGCCGGGCAGGTTCTGGGAAACGCAGGCCTCGCTCGGGCTGGCTTGGAGTTGCAGCCGCCGGGGGGACGAGCTCCACAA